ATTTATTTATTTATATATATTTATTTATTTATTATTGTTTAAAATATTTTAATTATTTTTTTGGTATTTTTTACGAATTATAATTATTTTTTATTACTTTATTATGAATTAAAACATTCCAATAGATAAGGGTATATTTGTCCAAGACACCCATAATTGGTCCTATGGAAACATAGTTTATTTTTGAAAATAATAATCCCAACTATTGCCGGTCCGCTGATAATAATCCCAACTATTGATTATTTTTGTATAATCCCAACTATATGGACCGTCCGCCAATAACGGTTCGTGACCAGATATTACCTCCTATAACAAGTGAATTTTAAATAGATATTGAGCGTAAAACTTAAAAATTATGATTATTTATAGGGATTACTAGTTATATCTCTTCTCATTTGATTTAGAAACTACATAAATTTATTTACAGGGACCATTATTGGCGGAAGGTCCCTAAAGTTGGGATTATTCTGAAATAATCGATAGTTGAGATTATTATGAGCGGACCACCAATAGTTGGGATTATTACTATCAATTTTCCTTTATTCTTTTGTCCTATTTGTGCAAAATGAGTATCTTTTAATCCTATTTTGATAATTAACTCTAAAATCAATGCGCTAAAACTCCCCATCATCTTGAAGGGACACACTGGAAACAAGCACGAAAATCAACAACAAGCGTTTAAGTTGAATCAAATGTTCACCAAGGACTAAGAGTCGGTGCACTGGACCAAGAAGGACCAACGATGCTGGGTGACAAGCAGGGGCAGATCTGCCAGGGGGGCCGGTGCCCCTGCTTCGGCCGCCGAGATAAGGTATAGGTATGGGGCTTTGGGGGTCGACGGACTAGTGGCTTGCAGTTTTCCGGCGAGCTGTTGAAGTGTTGGAGAGCTCTGTTTGCCGGCTGGAGGACGGGGAAGAAGCGAGCAAATGAAAAAAAGTAGACCTTTTAATGTTTAAAAGATACGACGTCGTTTCTGAAATAGGCATGGGGGAAAATTAAAGGCCTATTGGGCCAAGTAAGGCCCAATTCACAGCAGGCTGCAGCCCAAACGAATAGCCAATTAGTCAATTTGCCAATCCAGTAATCCAAAGCAGTTACAGTCTTCTTCCGCCCCTGCGCCTTGCGCAAGCAGCAACGACCAAAGCAGCACAACAGCAGAGAGCCACCAGCCACACCGGACGTCCAGCCGCTTTTCGCCGACCGACGTTCTTCCGTCTCCTGCTCCTGTGACCGGTACTCCGGTAGGTTCTCAGTTTTCCTATTTTCCCCATTTTTATTTAAATTAAAATTTTCGTTTTCATCATAGTTTTTTTTAAAATTCATAATTATGATTTGAAAATAATGTAGTGTAAAATAGTTTGAATTAAATCTAATCAATAATGACTATGCGTTAATGTATCATTTGTATTTAATTAAGAATTTATAATAGTGTGAATTAATTATTTGTGTTTTGGATATTCATTATTAGGGAATGTCAATTGAGAAATTAAATGGGAGATGATTATTATACTGATTGTATAGTCCGCTATGTAGAAAGATACTACGTATGTGTTTAGATGCATCGACAATGAGGTTATTATCAACATTTTCAGAACATGAGCACCCGTAGGTTGAATTTAACACCATTATGTTAACCCTTTTAATTAATTTAGTTATGTTTTAGTAGTGTAATTTGTTAAGACAATGTTATTATTATCGTGATGATTTACATTATTGATTGTGCCCCCGCTTAAATCCTTTTCTGGTTCCGCCAATGGTGACAAGTATTGTGCAGGGCAACGGGTTTGAGGTAGTCTGTCCTTCCCACACCTTTGAGCGGCCATTAATGGCGGACCTTTGAGGTTGATCTCCAACAACTGCACCAAGAATTACAGAGGTTGTAATCGAGGCATAGGCTTTCCTTGAGCTGCGATATATGGCGGAGCGACCAGAGCTGGGAGGCGCTGCGACCGGAGCGACCGGAGGTGGGAGGATCTCACCCGTTAAGCGTCGATCCTAAGCGTCGTCGAAGACCTTTCTTCAGTGTCACTTGACCGACCCTTGTCTTCCTCAGTCTGAATTTTGGGATGAATCTAACTTAACTTTGTTCACGAAAAAAAATATTGTACGGGGTACATAAAATCAACCTACATTAAATTGGTTTGTTGAATTCCACAATTGATTTGTTGTTCGAGGAGTAACATTGGAAGTTAAACCTTGCACATTCCATTGCTCTTCGTATTTACCAGGCCAATTTCAACGAAGGTTAAGCAGGCGGTTGTAAGCATAATTTAGGACATTTGAAAATATGTGGCTGTATTTAATAAATGAGTGGATGTGATAGAATTACCCGAAACTAAATAGAACCACTTAGGGACTGTTTTTTTAATGTAAGTCTATTTATTTTGTATGTTGAATAAAAAGTATCGAATGAAATAATTAATTTAGTACGGAGTATTGTTCATAAATTATAATGTCAATGAAAAAATTTATTTATTAAAAGAAAGTTATTCAACAATCGGTTTGAACAAAATGACAGGAAAAACGTCTTAAAATGACACTTGAATGGTAAGGACTACTAATCTCCAACTTAATGTAAGTTAATTTTTGACAGAAAGAATAAATCATTTTTTCAATTAAATCTAAACATGACTTAATAGTTCAATGATTAAATCGTCATTGCCACGTTGAAACTTGAAAGTAAACAACCCTTGCTTCCTCTTCAAAGCCTGATAGCCTCCCTTCAAAATATAATAAAAAGAAATATTGGATTTAATGAATAAAATTATTTTAAATATCTAATTTATAAAACTATTTTAAATATCTAATTTACTCCTCACATAGATTAAATAAATAAAATTATTTTGGGATAAGGGTCAGATAGGGCCTCGAACTCGAAAAAAAATGTCAAATAAGGTCATATTTCGGATGCTCTGTCTGGCCGACGCCATTTGGGGCGGTTCCCGATGGAACTTTTTGATGAAATTTTTTGAGCATCTTCCTCATTAAGTCTAGTTTACCCATACCAAATTTCAGCTAAAAATTCAACCGGGAAGGTAGTCAAATAATTTTCCGAAATGTACGGCGTTGTTTAACTTCACAGTTATCTTCAAAAATTCATTTGACTACCTTCCCGGTTGAGTTTTTAGCTGAAATTTGGTATGGGTAAACTAGACTTAATGAGGAAGATGGTCAAAAAATTTCATCAAAAAATTCCATCGGGAACCGCCCCAAATGGCGTCGGCCAGACAGAGCATCCGAAATATGACCTTATTTGACATTTTTTTTCGAGTTCGAAGCCCTATCTGACCCTTATCCCAATTATTTTAAACATCTAATTTATCCTTCAATTGTCCTTGGATTTCGTATCCCTCTTTAGAGGCCAGGCCCGTGGAGCCTTTGAGGCTGCTGAGACCTTTGCCTCAGGCCCCAAAAGAATTAAGGCCTCATTTTACTAGTGTCTATGTATTAGTAGTTCCAAAAGGTTGAATCGCCAACCCCAAGCGCCCCCACGCTCCGACCCGACAGAGCACATGAGAGGATGTAACTCACGGTGACTCAGTCAGCAGAGTGGCAGTAGGCCTTTACCCCGTGCGCACCAGAGGCCCAGCCTTATTTTAGGTTCTGTGACCTCCACCTGGTCGCTGCGAGGATTCGAACCTTGGTCATAGTTCCAATTTTCCCACCACTCGACCAGCTGAGCTACCCGTGCGGGTAGTGTCTATGTATTAGTATTACTACGGTTAGGAGTATTCTTTAGTGGGGTCAATTCATTTAATATCTCAACTCAAATGTAAATGATTGAAAAATCAAGCCTTATCTATCAGAAAATTAACGGTTATCCGTTATCACAAGCCACAAAGGCCATAACGGACATTTTCCAATTTCCAAGACATCATAATAAATATTACGTGTATAAGGTGTATTCCAATTATCAGTTTAAGGGTTTTCTAATTCTTTTTTTATCAAGGGATGTTTTTACTTGAAATGTTTTCAGTCTCAGACTAGATCAGACCAGACTTAAACAGACCAGACCAGACTTAAATAGAACAACTCGGATCAACAAATTACGGTTCAAATAAAACCATCCTAATGACTTCTTTTTGTGCAAATTACCTTTCTTCTACACGGACCATACGGCCATACTTCTCCAATAATAAGCGATTGTGCAACTGAAATGCAAGAAAAATAAATAAGTTTCTTTTACGGTTGAATTCCCCCTCGAAAATAAGCCTCATTTCAGCTTTTGCCTCAGGCCTGCCTCTCTCTAGACACGGCCCTGTTAGAGGCTTATGATTAAAAGCAACATAATTTAATAATTAAAGTTTCGTAAGGCCAACATATTTTGTTTAGTCCATAATCATCCATTATATGACGATTATTTCAATTTTAATAATTGATATTTACACATTGAGAATCTCTATAAAGTTGTAAAATCTAAATTAAAAATTCAAATTGATATCCTAATTAAGTGATAAAATGAATCTAATCGATCCAAACAAAAAAAAATATTACAATCTTACCATTATTAAACATGTTTACTTCCTTAATCCATTATGTCAACTTATACCAATAATTATTAGAATACAAACTTATTTATTATATCAACAATATTAATCACAATCATCAACTAAATTTACAAAATTTGTCAAAAGATTATAAACTGTCAAAAAAATTAATTTACCAAGTTTCTTCAAAATATTTATCAAATTTAAAGTCATTTGCATAAATATAATTAAAATTTAATATTCAAACTTATAATTAAGTTATAAATCATTGATCATAAATGAGCAAACAATCTTTGTTAGTCATAAATATTTGATTTTCTCATAACAAAATTTATAAATTTTGTAAATTTTGTATTAATTGTACATTCGTTGCGTGAATGTCCTTATTTGTGTGATTTTTTATTGCTTTGTTCATATATTCCAAATATGAATTGGCTTCTATCACAATATCGATGGATTCGTTAAGTAGGAATGAAACTGTAATAATAATTAAACAGAGTAAAAAGATTGGTATGGAAGATAACACGTTAATTTAACTAAGTATTTATTTATTAAGTACTACAGTCCCAGCTCGAAGAAGTAACACAACAGATTGACTATGTCCTAATTACATGTATTACTAATTAATTTATTTTCTGTATATATCATCATGACTTGTATACAAACAGCGCCGCATAACCGGCTTATTCAATTTATTTAATACAGTACAATAATAAGTATACTGGAATATCGGAGGCAGATCTAATGATGGCCGCCGGCACCACCGCCAGTGCAGCCGCCAGGTAGCTTCTCCTTGATCTTGTCCATGATACCCTTCTTCTGGTGGTGCTCTTCATAGCCATAACCAGCAGCGCCGCCGGTAGTGGCGGTGGTTGCACCAGTAGATGGATCATAATAGTCATGTTTTTGACCTCCAATACTCGGCGGCAGCTTTTCCTTTATCTTGTCCTTCAGTCCCTTCTTCCTCCTCCCACCGTACCCATCATCCTCTGACTGCATTCAAAGAGTACTCTCGAATTGCAGTTTACTTGTATGATAATTTTAATTTATAACGAGAAAAGCATTAAATGAGTTCTTTTACGTTTGATTATCTTTTAGAATTGATTATAAAGTGGACCAAGACTTTGATTATAAATATTTGACCAAGACTAGCTTCAACATAAGACAAAAATAACAACATGTAAGATCGGGGTTAGGAGGTTGTCGGTGATCATTTTATCCCGTTCATCCGACTTTGATTTGACACAAGTTATTTGACATGAAATTATTTGACATGAAATTATCGGTAAACCGTGTCAAATCCATATTTTTTTTTATTTTGTAGTGTGTCAAATTCATAAACATTTTTAATGGAGTGAGCTAATATCATATATTTTTGGTATGAATTTGATTAATTTGGATGACGTGTTTAATTAAAATTTTGGATTTGGTCAAAATTTAGCTCCACTCAAATATGATTAATTTGAATATGATGTGATGAATAAAAATGAAATTACTTACAGAACTGGAGCTGGAGCTCCCAGAGCGGTGGAGCATGCCCCCAATGGTACCATGGTGCTGACCGGCACCGCCGTAGTTACCGGCCATCCCACCCACCGGCCCCGTCGGCGCAGTAGTGTTTGCATAATACTGTGACTGTCCCCCGGTGCCGTGGTGGACGACAGGGTTGCCGTACTCATCCCTTTGGTGCACCGGGTTCCCCCACTCATCGGTTAGCCCGATCGGGTTGCCCCACTCGTCTCTCCGGCCACCGCCGTAGGGCTGCTCTCCGCCGTACTGATGAGACATTATATGATCGAACAATACTATAGAACTGACCGTCTGATTAAATTTGAACTGATGAAAATTTGGGACTTAGAAGCAGCTATATATAGGGTGGGATATATGCAGCTGCCTGCAGCTAATATTAATAATAAAATTAAAATGGTAATAATAGTAATATAAATATAAATTACAGATAAATAGGCGGAGATTAACACGTGTCACGCGCACAGATAACACCTGGAACTCATAGAAATCATGCATCAACGTGGCTGGCTAATCTACTGACGGGTGTCCTAGTCCGCAATCAGATCAGAAATAAGGATAGGGTTTTTCTTTTTTTTAATTTACTTCTTTTCGGCAATTATTATTATTTTTATTACAGGTCGGCGAATTCTAAATATAGGCAAATATTACGTGTCAGTCGCCCTTAAATTATCTAGTTATCTGGGTAAACGTAAGGAGGTGATTTGCTTAAATACGTAATTTGCCCATCTAAGTTTGCGGCTGATGAGGGTTTAGGAAGCTAAGGTCGCTCTTAATACAGAGTTCACCGAGCTAAGTTTCAATGTATGATGGTTTCAATAGATTCAACAAATTTTTGAGTGGTGCCTTGTTCTTGGACTTTCAACAATTTTGTGAAGTTTGTTGACTATAAAAAATTCCACATATATGAAAGTAAAAGTAGTGGACAAAAATGTGAATGTACTAATTTTGGTGATTATAATATACTATCTAGTGACCACGTAGAATACGGAGTAGTACTTATACATAGTAACTTATAGTCATATTTTTGTCTACAAACGTCGTTTGGTCTAATTTATGAGCTAGCTAGCACTAACGCTAATGGGTTAGCTGGTCTAATGAGTAATTTGTTAGTAATATCAGGACCCTCGCGTGTCATGACCGGTCCTACCATCTTGAGTATGATCGACCCAACTTTTGGACTGAACAAGTCATTATTCCAATAGGAGTCATCCACTCCTTTGATCAACTCAACTAAAGAGAGTATTTAAATTGGTTGAGACCACGACCCACTACTAGAAAACAACGATATTGACACGGACTTGGCACGGATTCACTGAGTTTGGCATAGATTATAACATATTCATGCAAGAGAAATGTACCAAATCTGTGCCAAAATCGTTATTTTTTTTTGTAGTAGCCGTTGTCATATACTTTTGAAAATCAATTTGTAAATACTTCTATGCACTTAGATGTCTCTCTAGTTCACAAAGTCTATGGTATAGTACATTGACGCACTTCTAAAGTTCACTATTGAAGGGTATATAGCACACTGGCACTTTACTACGAATGCCAACGATGGATAGTAATTATAAAATCCTCCTCCTTTCCTACACTCATATATCTACACACGACCTCCATATAAATGTACATGTATAATGTGAGGCATCATTTGGCGCAGAGAAATAAAAATTAGTTGGGTTGCGCGTATTTATGAGTGAATGAGAATTGAAGTAGAGATGGTTATGAGTTTTGTATGATTTTAGGGAAGAAATCCAATGTTGCGTTTGAATTTTATTTTTTGATTGGTGAAGACTGAAGAGTAGTACGTAAAGATGAAGTGAAGATTATAAAAGTATACACTAATTCATCAATTCAATAATGTGATAAAGTTGGAGATTATTTATAAGATATGGAAATCGAATCAATTAAACTCTTCCCTAGAGTACTTTTACCATAATGTTAGAGCACGTGTGTATATATTTTATGTAATTAGTTAGACTGGTATATTAATGGGCCGAGTTTGTGTAGTTCAGTTGATAATGGGGCTGCAGCTAAACTTGTATATGTACCCTTTGTACTCATTCGTTAGAGGCAGAGTATCAATAATAATATTATTCCATAATTAACATAAGTTCAATATGGCATCAGAGCCTCAATAGGAATGATGCAACCCTCTCCCTTCTTCGACGGTATTGTGCGGCACCAGCGTGTCACGTGCAGTAGCCATGGGAGATGATGCTTTGCCCAAGATTGACACATCCTCGCCGCATTATCTTGGTCCCGGAGATCAACCGGGGAATCTTATCACACATGTTATTCTTAAAGGAGACAACTATGTGGCATGGACGAGATGGATGACTCTGTCCTTGAAGGCCCGTCGGAAGTACGGGTTTGTTGACGGCACCATTAAAAAGCCCACTGAAGCGGCAAGGATTCTCGACTGTGAAACTAATAACTCCATGATCATTTCATGGATTCTCAGAAGCATGGATCCTACGGTGGCCGTCTCCATTCCATTTCATGAAGAAGCCAGATCTCTTTGGGTGTATTTGGAGGGTCGGTTTAGTGTGGCTAATGGACCCAGAATACAGAGACTCTGAGCCTCAATTACTGATTGCAAACAGTTGAAGTCGATGTCCGTTGATGCGTATTACACTTTGCTTATGGGCCTCTATGATGAATTGAATAGATTGAAGCCTCTCCACGCATGCACCTGTGGATTATGTACGTGCAACGTCGTCGAGAAGTTTGCGACAGACCGTGAAGAGGAGAAATTACATCAATTCCTCATTGGAATTGATGATGATGTGTATGGGACAGTCCGCTCAAACCTTCTGTCAAGCACGCCACTGGCAGACTTGAACCGGGCTCACCAGGCCTTCCTCCAGGAGGAGAATTCACGAGCTATTGCTCGAAGTAAGAATATCATTGTTGACGCTCATGCTTTTGCCCTACAGGCAGACCACTACAAGGGACGGATAGAACGAAACGAAAGGGCAAAGGTGACGTGCTCGCGTTGTAAACAGAAGGGACATGAAATTGATACTTTTTTTAAGCTTGACGGATACCCGGAATGGTAGGAGGAACGGAATCGTGGCAAGAACTCTGCAGCTGCGCATTGTAAACAGAAGGGACATGAAATTGATACTTGTTTCGCCATCTAATAAACATGTGTAAGAAACTAAGAATGAATAAAAAAACGTTCGAATTTAACATGTATCCCTACTGACCATGCAGTAGGTTTTACTGGGCACTACTTATCATTCGACCAATTTTTTGTATATTAATGCATCGTCGTTTTTTAGGAAGTCCAGAGTACAAATGGGTGGAACATTCTTCAAAGACAATAAACTTGAAAAAGAAACAATGCAACCACCCAAGTTATAGACAATACAATTCATACATCACGTAACATGGTACTTTTATTAGATATGTGATTGATTCCAAATATTGGGATTTGGAATTACACAAAACTAATAAGTAAACCCTTGAAATATAAACATGGAATTAGTAAAGAAAAATGGCATTATTGCGTAAAATAAGAGGAAGTGTGTCGATCAACATAGAACGAGTGAAGAAATTCGTACAAAGGTTAAAAAGAGAAGAAAAAGAAGTACTTCTGGGTGCTCCAAATTGTTCATAGAAGAAATTTTTAAAGAGTTTGAGGAGACCATCTTCTTAAAAATTGATTCTTATTCCGCTTTAGTTTTTAAAAAGAAGCACAAGCAAAATCAATTACAAACACTACTTAAATTCTTTTTTTACAGGAGGCCTCGAGTTCAAATTAGCAAAAAAAATGAATTTCAAAAGTTTTTCTCAAATTTGTGATGATCATTTGACCATCCAATGTTAGTATGATTGACCCCTTAATAGCGTTTTGTCTCATCTAATCACTCATGTGACAATGAGAGTTAGTATCTTATAAGGAACCTCACAGTGTTAACGAATCCATAGTGATTCTCCCAGATGTTATAATATAGGAACCAATAAACACATAATGGGTGTATGATGTCATTTGGAACATAGCAATTTCACATCAAGATTAGTCAAACGAATCCGGGTCCAGCTTATGTTGAAAAAGAAAAATGAAAAAATGAAGTCTGAATTTTACATGTTTCCTTGTTGACCATGCCATAAGTTTTACTATGTGCTACTTATCATTTGAGCAATCTTTGTACATTACTGCAATCATCGTTTATTAGGAAGTCCAGAATACAACTTGGTCGAACATTCTTCAAAGACATTTAACTTGAAAAAGAAACAATGCAACCAGCCAAGTTATGGACAAACAAATCACATAACATGGTACTTTTATTAGATATGTGATTGGCAAGTATTTGATTGGTTAAAAAACTTCGGATACCGGTACCATAAAAAAACATTAAAATATTAAATGTAAATATGAGTTGTCGCATCTAATGGACCACGGAACAAAAAAATTGCACTATCAATGAGCTTTACGACTCCCAACATGTAGGCTCGTAAGTTTAATTGGGCGGGAAACCCGTCACATTTTCCTACTCTCCTCCTTTTTATATAGACAAATTACGCTCTACCCTTCCCGCTGAAATCGCGCGATTTACAATTCCTCCGTATATCTCTCTCAGTTTAAGGTATTCAATTTCATTTTCCTTCATTCTTCAAGTTCTAACATGATCATGTGATATTCTCATAACAAAAACAATAAATCACTTTCAAGATGCTCAACATATGTATGTTCTTATCATCGCGAAGCACATTTTTTCTTCTGAAAAAGATCCAAAACAAACGCCACTCTACAACTTTTCAACTAGCTATGAACTAAGGATTTGATTTTTGATAGGTAAAATATGTCGAAGGGACAATTGCAAAAGTTGTGTCAAAGGTTATTGTTGTCGTTGCCTCTGCCACGCCCCAGACCAACCCGGACACGTCAACAACCGTTGTACAGTTCGAATAGTCAACCATAGTCCAACGTATTCGTACCATACTAGGTGTCATGAATATTATCCACACATAGTACATCCATAAACAAACATAATGTAAACTATTCATTTAAGCAGCGGAAGTAATATAACAAGTATTCAAGCCACATTTGGCTAACTTAGGCATGCAAGCCCCAAAATAGTTTATACGAAAATATTATCCATGAGCATTATTAATATTGTTTTAAAATCAGAAAGAGAGGAAGCACGAAGAAAGTCTTTCCTCTTAGACCCTCCCGAAGCAACGGGCTCTGGTAGCAAGCTTTAACTTCTACCTGAAACTGTGAGGTAACCTCCCCCGTGGGGGGGGGGGGGTCAGTATTTTGAAACATTTGAAAAGTACAATGACAACTACATTGTATATAATC